GGCTGAAGGCAGACTGAGGCTGGGCTGAAGCAAGCTAGGTGGAGCAGAGGCAGCTGAGCTCAGGCGGCTGTGCTGAGGCAGGCTTGAGCTGAGGCTGAGGCTGAGGAAGGCTGAGGCTGAGGCTGAGGCAGGCTGATGCTGAGGCAGGCTGAGGCTGAGGCTGAGGCCGAAGCAGGCTGAGGCTGAGGCAGGCTGAGGCTGAGGCCGAGGCTGAAGGCAGACTGAGGCTGAGGCTGAAGCAGGCTGAGGCTGCGGCTGAGGCAGGCTGAGGCTGAGGCTGAGGCAGGCTGATGCTGAGGCAGGCTGAGGCTGAGGCTGAGGCTGATGCAGGCTGAGGCTGAGGCAGGCTGAGACTGAAGCCGAGGCTGAAGGCAGATTGAGTCTGAGGCTGAAGCAGGCTGAAGCAGGCTGAAGGCTGAGGCTGAGGCAGGCTGAGGCTGAGGCTGAGGCAGGCTGATGCTGAGGCAGGCTGAGGCTGAGGCTGAGGCTGATGCAGGCTGAGGCTGAGGCAGGCTGAGGCTGAGGCCGAGGCTGAAGGCAGACTGAGGCTGAGGCTGAAGCAGGCTGAGGCTGAGGCAGGCTGAGGCTGAGGCTGAGGCAGGCTGAGGCTGAGGCTGTGACTGCGACTGCCGTTGCCACTGCGACTGTCATCGCGAATGCGACTACGACTGCGAGAACAGCAGAATTCTACAACTGGATTCTCATCCGAATCTTAAGGGGAATGCTTCCAGATATGCTCCTACACATCGCTGTTAGGTTGCTTTGCCGGGATAATTTAGCCCGATCGATCCACTTCGATCTCGAGTTCGGCTCGCCCGATCCGATCCGATTCCGCAGTTGATCTGATCAAGATTTCAGAATGGTGGCCCACTACGTGCATTCATAGGCCGTATAAGGATGGGGCCATCAACCCAGTATTCAGAAGGACGTGCGTCGCTGCGTGGACAAGTACGACGGCTGGATCATGGCCAACAACATTACCTGGGGAAAGACCCTCTAAGTGGTCAAGCATGCGATCGTTCTCTTATTCATTTTTTGCCTATCGGCTCGGGCCCTCGCACCAGCCCCCTCCCTCCCCCTCATGGGGTAGATCTTGACTGTTTTGGGCGCCTGTTTCGAGCAGGTGGAGTCTTCCCCACAGGACGCACGGTTCCAAACGGTCGCACTGAGCAGAGGTCCGGAGCCAGACGCCCCCCCCTTTTCCGCCCCATGCCGAAATGCCGAACAAGAGAGCGCTCACCATTGGATGCGCAACCAGCCGGGCCGAGGTTTGCATGGTGCGGTTTCGCATTCCGTTCGCCAGCTGGTGCGCTCCGAGACCTCGACCCCGTGCAGGCGCGGCCCAGGGCGAGGCACGTCTCGATGTGTCCGACTCGACGTCTCGATTCGATACCGGTTGATCCCGTGCGGGGATCAACGTTCAGTGGTCCTGGAGCCAGGCGATCGCAAACATGGATCCAGGGGGCGTGGATTAGCGACGGGTCCCGTTTCCATAGGAAGTCGCGGATTTCCGCGGCCGAGCGAGGCGGCAACCGCCGCATTCTGGGGAGGGCAACTTTCCCGGTCCATGGATTTGGCGACCGCGCGCCAAATCAATGGATCGCCCCCGGTGGAAGGGAGTTCATCGAAGAAGAAGGCACGCCATGAACATACAACATTTGGCGCTCCACGCGGATTTCTTGAATCCGCCCTTGGCGCGCTCCGCGCGCCAGGGAGGGCGGTCCAGCGCCGACCCGAGAAAGCCGCGCGGACCTCCGAGTTTTTATGTTTATGTCATTCTTCGTTCCCCTTATCCCCAGGACTCCTTCTCCCCCTCCTCCTCCTCCTGCGGTTTTCCGCCTGTAACCTCTTGGTTGCAGTGCTCTTTGCCGCGGGCACACTGTTGCCGTGCTTGTGAGGGTGCGGGCGCTGGGCAACGCTCCGTGTATTGTCCCTTGGGCGCCGATCCCGAACCCCCGTGCGCCATTTTGGCGCGGGGTGTAGGGCGGTCCTTGGTTTTGCTTTCTTTTCCTTGATTTCCTCCCTAAGGCACAGCGTTTCTGGCGCTATTGGGAGTTAGTCAAGGAAAGGAGGCCGGAGGTCAGGTCCCAGCTTGTGTCCGTGATCCCCTCTTTTTGCGCGTGTGCCCTTGGTGTTGGCCGTTGGCCACTTTGGCCGTTGGCCAGGGCACGTTGGCCCGCGCTTTGCTGAGCGCCACGGTTTTGTTCTGCCTTTTGGGCCTGCAACACTCCTCCTCCTCCTCCTCCTCCTCCTCCTCCTCCTCCTCCTCCCCTCCTCCTCCTGCTTCATCTCCTCCACCTCCTCCTCCTCCTCCCCCTCCTCCCTCCTCCTCCCCCCTCCTCCTCCTCCTCCTCCTCCTCCTCCTCCTCCTCCCGACTGCCATAGCATGATTGACTACCGGCCTGTCTCGGAGAACCTGGTACAGGCCGGGCGCGGATCCAAGAATCCCGCGCTGAGCGCCAAAAAAGTTTGTCCGATGGCGTTTTTTTTGTTCTGCTTCAAAAGTTCCGGCAGGCGGCGACATCCGAGCCCCGGCTGCCCCCCCCAGCCATCGAGGTCCTCCTGCCTCCGAGGAGCGGTGCGGGCAGGGTGCGGCACTCCCGCGTGCCCGGCGGAGTCTTGAGCCCCCTCCTCTCCCGCGCATCGAGTTTCCCGAAACGTTGATCGGCGAGGGATGAAAACGGCAAAAAAAGGCGACCTGAAACTCAGAGCGTGAATTACCTACCCCGCTTTCGCTTCCAGGCAAAACCAAGCCATACCACGCGCCTCCTCGTCAAGCGGCCTGACCAGTACAGGCCGTAGTTTGGCATCGCTTGGTATCTCTTGGAAGCGAGGGTGGTCAAAAGCGAGGTAGGTTTTCTTTCCCCCTAGAAACGGTAAAAAAACGGCTCCAGGATTGGAGCCGGAGCTGGAACCGGTCAAAAAACGGCGACGGAACCGGTAAGACAAGGGCGTCGGAGCCGGCAACAGAAACGGCAGCACGGAACCGGTAAGAAAACGGCCCTGTCGTTTCCAGGGTCCATTAAGGTGTGGGGTTCGGATCTCGCCGCCGATCAGTGCCCCGAGGTGTCCTGCGGGGGGGAGGGGGGGGCCAAGATCTCACGGGTGCCCTGAACCCTTCCCGCGGGCGTCCCGGGGGGCATCTGGGGCCCGTCGGGCAGCCCACGGGGGCCTCGCAGGATTTCCGAGGACCACCGGAGGCCTC